CCTATTCCTATTATCACCTTCCTCGCAACTTGTCATTTTCATTGACAAACCTGGCGGTAGTTCACGTAAATTCCCTTATAGTGGTTTCCATCGGCATGCGTATCTTTGAATTCTTGGCAGTGCGCTTGGAGGCATATTATCTAATGAGAGTAGTTGCTCGATTTCAAAATGACGTCCAACACCAGCGACTTCTTCACTCAGCATGGGGAGTCACAATTTTCCCAAGGTGCGTTCGTTGCCATACGGTAGCCGCCTTGAACGTTGTATGGTAGGTATCGAGGACCTCATGTTTGGACCGTCCTCCGCTGGAGGTGCTGGTAACGGTCACCAGAACGGTGGGCCCCTGGGGGCTAGGCAAACAGCAGACAATACGGGTTTGAGGGCCGACACTATGACTGATTTCCTGGATGTGGACGTATCCACTAAAGGGAAAACTCAGGTAGTAGTGGTGTTAATGGCAGGGCAACTATGTTGTATAGAGTTTTTTTTGTGGTGTAATGGTTATGCCATGTGTTCAACATTGTAGAGGTCGTGAGTTCGAATCCTAGCTGGAAGTGGTGTCATTCATCATCTTTTAGGAGATGGAGTTGACTCTGGACCAACACGCCTTTCCGAGAGAGTCCAAGCACAGGATGTGGGCGGACGACTCTGACTCTGACGAAGATGATAATGATGACATGGACGATGCTGCTACTGGGATGGACCATAGTCAACCAGGCTTCAATGGTAACCTTCCTCTCTAACTCCCCCATCTATCACCTTGTCCCTGCAGGTGCTCATGGCCATCATCATCATCATGGTCGCTATATGGGGATAGAGTCTGACGGTTTCGACCCATCGACCTTGCCTGACCATTCTTGCCAGTACTAGTATTGGTCGTCTGGGTGTACCATTCTCCCACTTTCACTATATAGGTACTGTTACTTGAGCTCTCCAGAGTGCGTGGTGCAGTGTAACGTGTGCAAGCGTTGGTTTTGTAACTCCCATCATAATACCAGTGGAAGCCATATTATGAACCACTTGGTCCGGTAAGTGCATCGTCGCCTTGTTGTGGCTACTTGCATTCATACGTTGAGGGTGGTTCCGTGATAGACTGCAGAAGGATTGATGCTTTTGAACTAGATAATCAATTTGGTTGTCGACCGACTGTGACGTGTTCAGGTCGAAGCACAAGAGTGTGTGTCTGCATGAGGATTCCCCCCTCGGGGCCTCTTTGCTGGAGTGTTATGTATGCGGCAATACGAACGTCTTCGTGTTGGGCTTCATACCGTCCAAGACTGACAGGTATTACAGGGGTGTAGTGACGACTTCAGTGCCCTCGTTTGTAGTGTCGTCGTACTTATATGCCGAGAGCCGTGCTTGGGGTCCAACACACTCAAGGACGATGAGTGGGATATCTCCATGTGGCAAGTGAGTGTGTCTGCTGGGCCATCACGCTGTGATAGTCGCCTTTGTGGCAGCCCTTGATTGAGGAGAGAGCGTTCCTACCATGGCTGGTGAAGATCCCAACGCCAGAGGAAGAGGTTAAGTACACGCGGCCTATCACTAACTCGCAGATCAATAGGTTGGAGGAGCTATGGAGAGAAGGAAAGGAAAGCGTAAGTCATATTGTTTTGGCAATTATCGCGCGGCATGAAATTATTACATACTTTTCGGCGAATATCGATGGTCCTCTTTCCAGGCCACTGTAGTGGATTTGGCTAAGCCAGGCACGGCAGCTGCTGAGGAGGAGCTCCCTGTTGTTCGCAATACGTAGTAGTTAAGGAGGCTTACTGTGGGGGAGGTCTCCATCAGGTACCCTGATGCCTATGTGTATCAGAACACTTTTGGACCGTTGGTCGAGATGGAAGCGGTTTATGATAAGGAAGTGAAGGAAAGTCAGGCGAAGGTGTGCTCGGGTGGTATATGCTTCGCTCCGTCGGGTATTTGCCATTTTGTTAGCATGATATTAAACTGCGATGGGACCTCAATATGGGAAACAGGAGGTGTGCATACTTCCCGGTCTTCACCAGAGAGGAGACGGCTGGTGCCAAGTTGGTGCCAGGGGACGAGATCAGGCTGAAGCTGGCTGACTGGGGCTCTGATAATGAGGTGACGTCAAGGAGGTTTATGACAGTGTTGGAAAATACGCACATGCTCAACTACATGTGTCGGTGATTA